TTAGGCTTAGGGTGACATGACCAAGAAGTGAGTGTATGAATGTCATCTGGATGAAGATACTTAGAGGATTTATTCATGACTTCAAAGGATTTGCCAAGGATGAGGAGGCTATAATAATCAATAAGTCTGTAGTTGAGACAGCAAAAACTTTAACCTGGGTGTGGATGAGGATGACATTGAGGAGCTCCTACAGGTGGCTCCTAAGGAACTGACTAATGAAAAGTAGTTGGAGCTGGAACTGGAACAGAAGCTGAAGAAGAGGCAAAAGAAAAGGAAACTGTAGGAGAAGAAAAGGAAGAACACCCCTAAAAATTCATAGTTAAGGGTTTAAAAGAAACTTTTGTAGTGTCATATGGGTGCTAGAGTAATCGGGGTGATCACTTTACAAATTATATAAATGTCTAACCTGAAACTAATATAAAATTTAAGAAGAGAATATTTTGCAGAACTCGACAAGCTCCTTTAAAAGTTTGAAAACATGGACCCTAACACTGAAAGGTTTTCATTAATAGGGAGAAATGCTCATGGTGCATTATCCATTTACAAGCAAATCTATGATGAGAAAAAGAAACCAAGCAAACCACCATGGACATATTTCTGAAAGGAGTGATACCTTCTCAAGAAGAGCCTCAGGCAGGTCCTTCAGGAGGTGTTCCAGAAGAAGGCATTGTTACCCTACGAGGTGACATCTCCATGTGTTTTGTTGCCTCTGAACACCTTACAGTGAGAGGACACATGGAGGTGGAAGACAGTGATATTGACAACCTTGACCCTGTTTATGCCTAGGCTATTGTGTGTGTTTGTGTCAGTTTTTTCTGTTGTTGTTTGTATACAGGTTTTTGAAGTGTAAAAAGCACAAACACACAAAAAAATTGAAAAAGCTTACAAAATAAAGATATAAAGAAAGAAAATGTTTTTGTACAGCTCTACAATATAGCTTAGGTATGTAGTAAGCTATACCATTTAGATTCGTGTAAGTGCACTCTATAATGTTTTCACAATGACAAAAATCACCTAATGACCTGTTACTGAGAAGGGCCATTGTTAAGCAATGCAAGACTGTATGCTAAAATAGTATTTCTCTTGCTGGTTTTATATTTCATTAATAATTTGTAGCATTGAATTTTCTATCTTTTTTCTTTTTAAATATGTCCCAACTGATCATGCCTCATCCCAGGAACCGAGGTTGCAGATAAATCATGTTACAGCAAGAATGAAGGTGGGTCAAAGTACGGGTACTGTCGCAAAGTGAACAACACACACTTGCCTTGTAAAGCAAAGTAAGTGACCTTATTATTTGAATCTTTCTGTTCCACTCCTAGGGATACTCACTTTGGCCAGAGAAATAGCTAATACAATGTTTGTAAGAGAAAAAATTGTCAGTTCACCTGAAGAATTTGTTTTAACTTTTGGATTGATATTCTAGAAAATTATAGAATATTACACTCAATGAACTTGAGATTTTAAGGATTTTTTTTGATTTTGCAATTTTAAGCTGATGTTTAAAATTCAAATTATAATAGACTAAATTCCTTGTACCTGCTCGAAATTTTGATACAATTTAATATACATCAAAAGGTTGAATGAGATCAGCATTTCTCAAAGTTTTTCTATTAAACATGAACTTTCCTAGATGATAGATATTACCAAACAAACTATATTTTGGACATAGCCTCATCTTTTGGGGAGTTTGGGCCTAAAGGATGGATTGTCATTTCCTGTGGTCTATCTTTTATAGGATATCAGGCCAGATTCAAAAGGAAAAAAATTATGTAAAAAGAAATAAAGGGAGACTAGGCAATATTTAGTATGAGAGCTAGCATGTAGGAAAAGAGAGTGGGGTTATTTTCCTCTACATCATGTGCACACACCATTGTCCCATATCACCATTTGTATGAGCGCTGGACAATTTCTGCAACTAGAAATACAAGCATTTCATTCTTCCCCCTACCTGGGTTTCTTATCACTTGTTAAAAGTAACTGACTGGAGAGAAGCCTGGAATTCCCTGCGCCCTCGAATCTTCCTTATAAGACTTAAACGATTCAAGAAAAACACCTTCTCAAGTTTGGAGAGAATGCATGTCTTTCTCCACTTCTCAATTATATTTTCTAACAACCACCAAAGACATCAGAAGAATCTGATTCTATCTATTCTCAGAATACTTTTTCACAGCCCTCCTCTGAATTCTCTAAAATTGACTGCAATTTTATTGGCATTGACTTTATTCACCTTAGTGGTAGATGAATGGTTTCATTGAGTGCTGAGCAGTTTCATCTGTATTTTCAGGTAGACAGTCCTTTCTGTAACCTCACATGATGCCTTGGAGTATACACCAAGGCTCAGCTTTATATTAACACAACCATAGCTGAGAGAGTTATTCTGCTGTAATTCATGAAAGTAAATAAGAAATGTTAGCTAAAACAGGATAGAAATCAATTTCCTAGGTGTCCTCCATGATGTTAGAAGGCCAACCTCGTATCTTCTAACTCTATCGTGGATATGACCACCTTTCTCAGCTGTTTCTCTTAGTCTACATTGGCTTCTCCAGCTCTAGCTATCACTTTCCAATAAGCAAAAAGAAAAAGGAAAAAAAAATTAGAGAAGGATGTACTCCCTAACACTTAAGACACTTAAACTCTGCTTTCTTTCCATTGGCCAGACCTTAGGCAATTGGCCAAAGTAGCTGCATGAGAATCTGGGAAATGAGTGTGTATTTTCTTTTTTTAATAGCAACAATGTGTCTGCCAATATTCAATGGTTCTTTCACTGAAGAATAAGGGGTAAAATTGATCTGAAAGAGAACTAGGAGTCTGTGCTATAGGGAGAAACACTGTTAGTTAAATATTGATAGTCAAGGAGCTTATTTACATTTGTATAAAACTGCAATTTGGAGCCTAGTATTTCAACTGCAGCAAATTTTGGCTTTTCCTCAGTGATATCACGTGTGGGAAGTTGTTCTGTCAAGGTGGGTCAAACAATTTGCCCTGGAAAGGACGCATAGTAACTTTCCTGACATGTAAAACATTTGATCCTGAAGAAAGCAGTCAAGAAATAGGCATGGTAGCCAACGGAACAAAGTGTGGAAACAAGAAGGTAAATTGAAATTATGGCTTTGATTCAAAGTGTTTTTTTAGTTTTTATTTTGTATTTTATTTCTCAAGGCCTTTTTGTGTTTCAAGGGAACAGTTTTCAAGCTTATGTCCTTCATTTGGGCCTGTTTGAATTTCTTTCTTCAATATTATTTAATAAGTACCAATTATGTGTTTAGCGGTAGGTTGTTAAACCTACATAAGTTTTATTGCCCCCAAAATGGTAGATTCTCAAAGAACGACAGTGGCTCTAATAATAATAAAGAGAATAATAACAATGATATTCATTTTTACATAAATAATATTTTTTACTATTGCAGATGATGTGCTATTGACATATTTTCCATAATACTTTTGTTTGGAATGGGTACCTTGTGTCATGAGCAGTACTCAGCTCAGTGCTAAATGTCACTCTTAAGAGTTAGACTGAAGAGGTGGGTTAAGGGAATAACCCCTGAGGAATGGGGTGAAGTGAGGAAACTTTAAAGAGGACTTTCAAATATTTTATGCTAAAAATTACCTAGATCCCATCTTCCCATTTTCCAAAGAATGCTGATTTCCCTAAGAAAAAAGTAAATTTGATAAAGATGATAGTGGCTAATAATATAAGACTAAATTCCAAAGAGTCAACAATTTGCAGAGCCAAAGCCATTGGACGTTAGTGTCAACTTCATGTGTTTCGCATCACTTTCAGGTTTGCATTAATGCAGAATGTGTGGATATCGAGAGAGCCTACAAATCAACCAATTGTTCATCTAAGTGCAAAGGACATGCTGTGAGTTTTGAAAATGTTTCCCCATTCCAGCATAAAATGATTAAAATTAAGTTTGTCTAACCCCTCAGTAGTTTGGTTCAAAAGAAAAGTTTTTCTATGAACCTGGTATGTACCGAAATTCCTATTATTGATTTGTACGTTACGTAGATAGCTAAAAGCCACAGAACAGGGCTTATTCCTTTTTCAGAATTACCTGTGGATGATTAGGCCCTTAATTTGGTAGTCAGTCTGGTGGGGAAACTGACAGAATTATTACTCGCCCAGGTGTGTGACCATGAGCTCCAGTGTCAGTGTAAAGAAGGCTGGGCCCCTCCCGACTGCGATGACTCCTCAGAGGTCTTCCGTAGGTAACATTTCACATCTAACCTGAGAAAATGGCTCTTCTTCTCTAAGCTTTTATTTCATATAACATGAAATTACATGGCCTCTGTTCTCTCTCTTGGAATTTCTGTTTTATAGATATTGAATTTACAATATTCATCATCAAAATCTCGTTAACAACTTTTTATTCATATTTTCCACATCCTTCTGTTTTTACTCTACATACAAAAAGATCTCCTCAGATTTTATATTTGTAATTTTATTTCAATTCCACAAATTTTCTTGCTTTATAATTGTTCCATTTTCATAGCAGCCTTGACTTAATGCATAAATATGACATCCTCATAAACCTCTCTAAAAATATGACAGATTATTTTTGTAGGTTTAATTCTGTTCTCTGACTTATCTCTATTTCTTTTGAGTTTGACTGTTCTGTTTTTTCACCCTGTCTCTTGTATTTCATTGTGCTGATTCTCTTCAGGATTTGTGATCTTTCCTTGCATATGGAATTAGGTTGACTCGAATTAGCTCACGTAGTTTTTCTTTGCATGTTTGTGTGCTTATTGTACCTACCGATGCCTCTCCTGATGGGAGATCTGGCTGTGAGCTCTACCACTAGATAAGCACATCTCTTTACAGGCCTTCAGAGTGGGAAGAAGCCAGAGTGGGGATCCTCACCTTTAGTTGCCATGGTGAAGAGTACTTTGCCTCGAGGAAAGAGGTCTTCATGTCATTTACTTCCTGAAGAGAGTTGCTTTTCCTCTGTACTCATTCACTCCTTGATTTTCCCTTCTCTCTTCTCTGATTTAGTATGGGTATCTGCAATTATCCTCTGTGCTGCTTCTCAGGCTCTTGCATGCCCCATTGCTTCTCAAGAGAAGTTCTCAGGGCTTTGTCCTGAGGCATGAGCAACTCTTGTTCTATATAAACAAGGGGTGGGCATGGGCCTGAACGAACCATCTGTCCCAAGTTCAGATTATCTGTTGACTTCCCAAGAAAGAATAGCATCTACTTTTGATAATGGACTTTTTTTTTTAATTAGTTGATTCTTCATTAGATTCCCAAGAAAGAATAACTTTTAATTCTGATGTTTGGAGCCATAATTTACTCTGTTTCTGTCTACCTAAATCCCTTTACTTTCTATATTTCTGCAATTCTTTTAATTTTTATGGAGGGTGGAGAGTATTAAATATTTGAACTGCAGTTGTAATCTTACCTAGAATTCTACTTCTGATGTATCTACCTTTGTCTGCATGTATGTGTGTTTGCATTTGTGAACTTTTGTTGCATTTATACAAAAAATAATCTTATTATTGATTTGCTGATCTCTGTAATAATAGAGTGGAGCTCTTTGAATTGTTCTTCAAATTTGTGCCTCCTGGTTCCTGCAGTTTCTGATTATTTTAAGAAAACTGAATGTTTGAACTAGCAAAAGGTTGACGTTACATTCATTACTTAGGTTAGTAGATAAAAGAAAAAGCACTATATAGACCCAGGAAATTCATTCAAACCATTCTCCAATTCACAGGACCACATATTTTTTTTCTGCCCATATTAACTGCAATACAGAGCAATCATCAGAACACTCAGTTATGTCTCTTACTCATGTCTCAGTTCCTTGGAATATGATTTCAAACTTCAGTTTCTTTTTCCTTGTTTTATTTCAAGGCTGAATCTTTAAAATGTTTCACTACTCTTCTGCCATCCGCCTTACTTTATATTCTCTCTAATCTACCAGCCATTCATTTTCAATAATTATAAACATTATTCCTTCTCAGAATTCTCAGTAATATTTGCTTGAGATTTCTATACAGTTCCTCTTTATTTCCTCTATCTAAATAATATTACAATATTCATGAACAAAATGCATTTTTACTGGCTATTAGGGATTTTCTAGGGAATGCACGTTCTCTAGGGAAAGGACAGATAGAATTTGTAACAAATAAAGAAATAAGGACTAGAGTGGTGTATATTTGTGAATTTCTCATATTCTCACTAGGCCTGGGCTCTCTTTGTTGCAGACTTCTCCATTGTGGTTGGGGTGCTGTTCCCTGTGGCAATCATATTTGTGGTGGTTGCTATAGTAATCAAGCACCAAAGCATCAGAGGGAAACAGAAGAAAGTCCAGAGGTAGGTTTTTATTTTGCTTTGGGGGCTTGTTGGCTTTTAATTTACTTTAAATTCAAGCACATGACCCAAATTTTCAAATTTAATTTTGGTTTACATCAAATAGTAATAAGTACAGATACATTTTTCTTGGACCAGAGACTGTATATCCCTTTTACTAGGAAATCCTTCACAGCAAGACATGTCTTTTGCTTCTGTTGATTACTGTATTTATAATTAACAATAAGATTAATAACTCATTATTAAAGATTTTGCATCGATTATGAGAATACAATATCTAACATTTATTGATCACTATCTTTATGGCGAGCACTATGATAAGTCTTTTTATATATATTATCTTATTTAATCTTCATGAGAACTTCATGAGATTATAAGTATTATTTCTATCTCATAGATAAAAAGATGTTATACATTAATTTTATAACAAACACACAAGGTCAGGCACTTCACATTTTACTGATGTGGAAACAAATTCGGACATGTTAATAAACATGTTCAAAGTCATACAGAGTAAGTGGTGGAGCCTTGATTTTCACCTAGATGGGTCAGTCTTTCAAACATGGTCTTGACACAGTATCATTCTTGCATGTTTTAAAGACTGACTTATTCACCCATGATGGGCAATTAATAAATATTAAATGAATAAAATAAATAATTAATCAAATGACCTAATTTAGATAAAAGTTGGATTAGACACCATCATTATTACAGGGCTCTGTAAGAGAATCAAAAAGAAAATCAATGGTGGTGATTATGAATTACAGGATATGGAAACCTGCAGAATGTTCTGTGGAACATATGAAAACCCAATCAATAGCCAAGGACGACACAGTGGGCAAAAGAAATAGGCAAACTTCTCTTGAGTTTCCTGCTCATGGTGGAGGAACTACTAAGTCAATTTGTATGCTACACTTTCACCAACAGGTCACTATCTACCACTGGCATCAGACCACATCGACAGAAGAAGAAACCACAGACGGTGAAGGCTGTTCAACCCCAAGAGGTGAATCATAGTTTGTGCTGTGCTTGCTATGAACCCCAGTTTGTGATTGTCTCCCTCTCTTCTCCTGACCACCTATCTATCACTTCTGCTCAGCAGTGTTTAATAAATTCACCTCACTAGTGAATATGTAGCAAGGATTGTGGGCTCCACAACTACAAATTCAGGAAGAAAGTTCTCCTTTCTTCCTTTTATCGAATGCAGAAGAGGCTCCCTAAAATGCAGAGCCTGCTTTGCTAGGGTTTACAAATTGCAAAAAGAATAAAGAATAAAGAAAAAAGTCAGATCTCTCTCTCTGGTGAGTCCTTCTTCCTTTCGGAAATGTCCCAGTGAAGATAGCAGTATGTATATATGTATGATAATATATGTAATATGTATAACCCCTCATGCTATGGTTGTGTTTTGCAAGGTTAGAAATTTTAGCAGAAGTTGGTTAATGACAATGACATTGGTAAGAATGTGTTTGATGGAAATTTACCATTCTCTAATCTGGCCACAGCAAAAATGCAAGCAGCTAGCCCAAGAGATTTCCCATCTGGTCTATTATTGTCATCTTAGTTCTCATCTTCCCTATCTCGAAGGGTCTACCTGTTTGAAAACTGAACTTAGAAAATGGATAATTTCATTTTAAAATTAGGTTTGCTTTTTTCTTTTTAGATCAGTCAGATGAAGCTTCACGCACCTGATCTGCCAGTAGAGGGCAGTGAGCCTCCAGCTTCTTTTGTAAGTTAGCAACTTCTCTTAACTATCACTTCTAATCTAACTTCATGGAAATGCTCATAAAAGACAACCCACAGTGCCCAATTATTTCTTCGGAAGAATGTTACAATCTGTGTGAATATTAATAAAAATATAGGTTCTTCTGCAAAACTTTTTAAAAATACAGAATGTGAGAAAGTGTGTCTCCCCATTATACTCCTACAGTTATCCCCTAAACCAGAATTACCAGGTCGATAAAGCTGATATCTCATTACAAGAAAAGTGCCAGTCTGCTTCACAGAGTGCCATCTTCATCATGTGTCTATTGGCACTGGACTTATGTCTGAATTGTCTGTGTATACCTAAATAAAAGTAACTGAACTTATGGGCTTAGACTCTTCTCATGGGTACAGTCCTAAATTCTCTATATCAGAAAATGATTTAAGCCTTTCTGTTAAGCACATGTGTTTTCAAGACCCCATCTTTGAATTATTATTATTATTTTTTTTACCTATTATAGCTAATTACAAAGCCAGATTTTCCACCACCACCAATTCCTACATCTCTATCATCTTCCTCTTTCCTTGTAAGTATCAGATGGTCACTGGTGATTTTTTAAATGTCTCTTATGCCCAAGGCAAATATTGTCTCTAAATCTATGGGTTTATTATCAAGATTTGTGCTCTCTAGGACAACCTGAGATGTCATAGCACATAGGTATATTTGGGAAAGTAAAGCCTACTTAATATCTATAAATTGTTATGGGTATTTATTATTATTAAAAGTAGTCCTGTTATATAATTATTAAGAAATGAAATGTAGTTCTACTGTAGAAGGCAAACTATCTCCTTCAAAGGATAGTTTCTAGATGGTGACTGGAGGATATAAAATTTTATTATAAGTTATATTTTACTTTCTTATTTGTTGTAGGTAGAATAAGGCCTGTATTAGTCACAGTTTTCTATAGAGGGTAGGAAAGAATAGACAACATATAGGCAAACCTGAGATAAAAATAGAATAAGGCCTGTATTAGTCATAGTTTTCTATAGAGGGTAGGACATGAAGAATAGACAACATATAGGCAAACCTGAGATAAAAATCAGGTACATATGAAGTAAAAGGTAGAATTCGTTCACTCAAGTAGTTACTGAGTATATTTTCTCATACTTGGTACTCTGTTGTGGGTAAATGAAAGAACTAAAATTTAAGGGTTGTTTTTTTTTTCAAGAATATTTACAATTTTAGTGGGAAAACCAGTCATATACATATGAAGCACTTAATTCCTCATAAATTATTTGTGTCAAAGCAGGTGATACTAATGAGAAGAATATGGTGAAGGGAAAATGAATGAATGGGATTGGAGTGGTTAAAGCAGGAGAAAGATCCATTGACTAAGTAGTTGAAATTTAAATTGGACCCTGAAATTTGTGTGTTATTTAAATGAGTGACAAAGAGGTAAAGAATGATTTAAATAAGCAAATCAGTATAGCTAAGATGGGAAATACATAGCATTTCTAATGATTTACCATTATTTTTGTCCTTAATATAGCATAAAGACTCAAAAGTATTTCTTTCTACTGCTTTTAAGGATAAGCCAATGTCTACACCTAAGGTAAGAGATCCATGAGATGCATAGCCAAACTATTATAATCTTGTAGCATGCCTAGTGTCAAGGAGAAAAGTTCTACGTCTTCCTAGGAGATGTTCACTAATAGCACTGGTGCGGTTTTGTAGAATGGATACTAACATGTCTTCCTTCTGAGTTGGCCAATAACCAAAGGGAACAAGATGGAAGGATCTTAGCAAAAAAAGTGATGATAATTGAAACATTCTCAATTTTCTCAGAAATACTCACCAAGGATATGAAATGGAAGAAGATACATACAAAACAATTACTAAATATCTCATAACTCTTCTCATGATCCCCCGTCCTCTCCATATTATGCTAATTAGCCAGATGGATATTTAGATCACAGTGTAGTGTTTTGCTCACCTTCTTTCCCTGCACATCCATGTTTTCACTCCTTCACTGTGATGTATCAAATAATCTATAAACTAGGAACTGTGACTATAGAGAATTGATTTTAATTTCTCAATATTTCAAAGTTATGAGATACATAAATTTTTAGGAAACGTTGATGATCATTCAAGAGTTTTGTCTTTTTTAGGACTCCAATCCAAATGTCTGAAGCAACAGCTAAGCAAAGATTGGTGGGTAAATGATCAACTTGGAAGACTGGACAATCTGGATGGAAGAAAAATATACAAACTTTCTCATTGCTATTGGTCTTGATACCCAAAGAGGTCAACATTTCTTGATTCGTGTTACATTTTGAAAGATAAACAAAAATTTTCAAGAGATACACATTCTTGAGAATCTTTGTCTGAATTTAAATTTCTATTCTCCCTACTCAGGAGAAGGAAGATGACTCTAAAGATACAGCTATGAAGCTGAAATCTCAAATTAAGTGACTTTTTTAGACACTCCCCCCCCTTTTTTTTTTTTACTGTAATGTTGACTAATAGTTGTTCAAATATTTTGAATGCCTTACTTTTCTCATTTGGTAGGAATTAATTTACTCTCTAATCAAAATAAAATAAAACAATAAAACAAAACAAAAACACAAGAAATCACAGGAAAGTGGGACAGATGAGAGGAAATTATACATTCATCATTAGAAAACTAACAACAACTTGATTGTTTTAACTATTAGCCTGTTAAAATAGAGCCCTCAGTAAGAATATTATATAAACATTTTTGACTTATATAATATCTCTTTCCTACACTATCTTCTTTAATCCTTATTAGCTGTGCTATTTGAGGTTTACTACAATGGAATAAAATTTATTATTAATTAAAATTTTTTGTTAGAAATTTGTGAAATTCAGTTACTGGTAAGGCTAAAGTGAATTTCATTTTCTAAGTAGAGAATGTTTTAGTTAAATTTTTTAAAAATCAGAGATTGTAAACTGGTGGCCTGCAGAACAAGTCTGGACTGCAGGTTTATTTTATTAGACCTGAATGATTTTGGCCATAAAGTATTGTAATATGTTTTGAATTTTTTGCCAATATTTTAAAATTGGGACATTTTGCATAAACATCTAGATTTCCAGCTTTTTAAAAGTAATCAAACTGGATTACTGGAATCACATTGCTCATAGCAACCATCAGCTTAGTTGGCTGGTGGTAAAACAAACATCGTTGGTCGTCCACCAAATAACCCTCTTCTTCCCTGCTTTCAAACCCTCTATTTGTTCCATTGTCCATACTTCAAAAAGGGGAATCCTAATACCTCCTCAAGGGTAAATTTCCATAACTCTACATCAACATAATAATCTTGTGTCCCTTACCAGTTGTTAATTTGGAGGTGAGTATATGCTCCTCTGCCCTTTTTGTCAATGAGACAAGAAAAGAGATATGCTGGGGGAATTTCTAGGAAAGATATCCTCATCCCTTCTTCTGGATGTTGGCATCTGGATAGTCTATCTCTAATTGCTGCAATTATGAGGTCAAGGCTGATATTCTGAGTAAGGTAGAGCAGAAAAATGAAAAGGAAAAAAAAAAGAAAACCTGTTTTTAATGATGTCATTGAACTGGTAGATTAGTAAATGTTAGAGTCACCCCACACTTTGTTGGGACCTCCTGTTATATAATCAATAAAATTTCTAATTGTTTAAGACATTTCAAGTTGTATTTTTCTCTTACTACTTGTAACAGAAGTCATCCCAATTCATAAATAGCTACTTCCATTATTAGAACACATACTTTTCAATTCATCATCACTGCTATATATATATTTTTTTGTACTTGATTTGTTTTACATTTGCAACAAGTACCTGGCCCTGCAGGCCATTTTTTTTTTAACATGAGGGATTTGCCCACAAGAAGTTCATTGGGACCTTGCAGTGTGAATTTCTAGATAAGCTCATTTTGGCCTCGAAAGTGAAACTCAATCCCCAGCAAACCCAGTATCCACCCATCAAATCATTCTCATGGTGCTATCTTTTCTTTCCATGTGGGAATTTACTCAAGAATACATTTAAAATATAACATTATCTTCAGTGTGAGGTTTCAGAAGACCCTGACAGACCTAGCAATAAATCCCTATTTTCAGTAAGGCCATAATCTTACTTGTGATCAAACTATAGATCTTTGCTGTTTTTTTTTGTTGTTGGTTTGTTTGTTTTGTCTTTTTAATATTGATGGAATGGAAATCTTGAACCTGTAAATCTTCGATTAGCCATTTGCATAACCCGAGCTAGAAGTAAAACCTATGCTCTCAAGAAGTGGCATCTGAACATTCCTGTGGATTCTGAAATAATGACAGTAGATTCTTGAGGCATAGGCACTATAGGTCCCTTATGGAGACAGATGATTGAAGGACAATGACAAGAAAACCATTCTTTTATCCTCACTTTGAACCAAAGCCCTACGTTTCCTATTGGGCTGAACTATAGAACAATTTAGACACTTTAAAGCAAAGACTTTGATTACACAGTCCTGTTTCCAAACTAAATTTGCAGCTAACTTTAAGGGAATTCCTCTGATATTAAATTTAACCACCTCAGTTATGCCACCAAGCCTGTTTTTATAATTAGTTATTTTTGCCTTCTCTACTATTTTTTTTTTAATAGATTAAATTGTGGTCTTTTCCATGTACTCTATAGTGAACCATGGGGTTTCTCTAAATATTCCTTAGCACTTCACCCAGTTACTGCTTTTTTATGAGTTTTGGGAATGCTTCTAATTTCCTATGAAATAATGAAGTATACATGAAAAAGAAAGCAAATTTTAGTTGCAATCAGAAGTTATGGAAAGGGTGGAGCTATGTTATTATTTAAGTTGGTAATAATGATACCTGTGTAGCAAAAAATTGAGAGTGGCCTCTGACCAACAGCCAGCAAAGAACCAAGCACTTCGGTCCAATAGCCCTTCAGAACCTAATCCTGCCAATGACCATTGAATGAGCTTGAAAACAGCTCTCGACCCAATGGGATCTTGACTGACACCTTGTGAGAGAAACTGAAGCAGCAGACTCAGCTAAGTTTTGCCTAGATTCTACAAACACAGAAACTGTGAGGTAATAACTTTGTATTCTTTTAAGCTGCTATGGTTTGGGGGAAATTTGTTATGTGACAATAGTAACTCCTATAAGGAGCGTAAAGAGCAAATGTTTCAAATATTCCAGATAGGTTTACATAGAATTAACCACTGTATTTAAACAGGACCTCCATTATCTCAATTTTTTCCCCCTTCTTTGTCTCTCTATATTCTCATTCATTCTTCTCTCTTTTATAGTGGCACTGATTAATCGCTTGACATCTCTGATATCCGCTCTTCTCAAATATGTTCTCTCCCCTTTCTTTACACATTTTTGAAGAATTTCTTAAACTTATCTTCCCAATTTTTGATGTTGTGTTCAATAGTGTCGATCCTCCTTTTCACTAATTTTAAGGCATTTTATAATTGTTTCTCATATTTGCTTAATATTCTCTTTTTTCCTATGTCACATTAGTTTTATAAAGGCTTGTCAATTAACTGTTTTTGCTTTCTGTTTCCACAATTTTACTTCTAAATTTAAATTAAAAAATATATAAAAAATTTTGTCTAAACTTTATTAATTTGTCTAAAAAAAGTAACTGTTTTTCCAAAGTACATTCTTCCTCAGCCATTCGAGCACTGTGCTTCCAGTCTTTCACAAACACAGTTGTTTCATAGGTATTGCATTGCTATTTTCCAGTTGGCTCACTTTTGTGTTTTAAAATTTTATACTGATCTGTAAAATACTCTCTATTTCATATCTTCGATGTTAGAGTCTATCCCTTAATCTAAAGAACTTTAGTAAACTAGCTAGCATTCTGAGTGTAATATGGGTATAGGTGAGGCCATGAGCAAATCTTGCATATTCTTTTCTGCCCAGATTCTTTTTTTTTTTTCTTAGCAAAAGCCATCTACCAGGGCCAGACTGGGAGCAACACAGTCCTATTGGTGATCCTAAAATCGATCTCCTCAAGAAAACTCTTGATTCATTAAGAGGAAAGCCTATGCCAACAAAACCTGCAACCACTTGGCACATCTGCTTTTGAATTCCCCTAGTCTCTTCTGCTGCTTCCATAAAAAGACTTTTCCTTGCCAATGACAACTTTAGTCTTTGCTTAGCAACTCACCCGGATGGTTTGCTATACTCAACACTAATATGCTATTACTATGATAAGTCAGTAACATTGTTATGGAAACTAAAGCTCTAAGCAGAAGAAAATTATGTGAAGTCATCTCCATGTTAAAATTTAACTCTTTTCTCTCACCTATTGCCAAAGTCCATATTCTTTTTTAAAAATAATTTTTAAAATTGTGGTATGAACACAGCATGAGATCTATTTTTTAACAGATTTTTAAGTGCACACATGGTATTATTAACTATAGGCACAATATGTGCAGCGGGTCTTAGTTGTCTTACATAACTGAAATTTTATACCTGTTGATTAACAACTCCCCACTTACCCCTCCCAGTCTGTGGTAACCATACAATTCTATGTTTTGATTCCATGAGTTTGACTATTTTAGATACCTCATATAAATGAAATCATGCAATATTTATCCTTCTGTGATTGACTTATTTCATTTAGCATAATATCCTCCAAGTTCACCCATGTTGTTGCATGTAACAGGACTTCCTTCCTTTTTAAAGACTGAATAATATTCTATTTTATATATAGACCACAATTTTTAAAATCCATTAATCTTTCCATGGACATTTGTATTGTTTCCACATTTGGTGTATTATGAATAATGCTTCAATGAACACAAGGTTATAGATATTTCCTCAAGATCCTGATTTCAGTTCTTTTGGGTAAATATCCAGAGATAGAATTGTTAGATCATATGGTAGTTCTATTTTTAATTTTTTAAAGAACCTCCATATTGTTTTCCATAATGGCTGCACCAATTTACATTCCTACCAACAATGCACAGGGGTTCTCTATTCTCCCCACCATTGTCAACACTTATTACCTCTGATCTTTTTTATAACAGCCAACCAAAGGGGTGTGAGGTGATATCTCACTGTGATTTTGATTTGCATTTCCCTGATGATTAGTGACCTGGAGCACTTTTTTGTGTACCTGTTAGCATTTGTATGTCTTCTTTGGGAAAATGTCTATTTAGGTACTTTGCCCACTTTAATATGCATAACAAAAATTAACCATTTTAACTAATTTCAAGTTTATAATTCAGTGGCATTAAGTATATTCACCACACTACATAGCCATCACTACTATCCATCATTTTGAACTTGTTCATCACCCAGAAACTCTGTATTCATTAACTTCCCATTCCTCCTTCCCTCAGGCCTAATATCACTTTAATCTATTTTTTTTCTGCTGAAAACATCTGGAGACAATTTCTGGGACTCAACATTCTCATTGTTCATATTAACATTTTTTTATCTTTGCTCTTTTTGTAGTCAAATAATAACATTTTTTATATTTTGTTTTAATTTGTACTTCTTTGATGACAAATATATTTTTAATTGATCATTTTACTGATTTTATTCCTAGTAATTTAAAACCTGGTTTTAAATCAGAGTTAATGCTATACCCTTCTTAGCAAGAACCATATCAATAAGGTAGCTTTCTTGCCATTTAAAGCACCGCATCAGTTCAGTGTTGAAATCCTTGGTGTGCAACTCTGATGGGAATAACAACAAAAGGAAGTTCAGAAATTTATCTAAGTAAAAACCAAGGTGATGACAATATGACTATAGATAATGGTTTCCTTCTGATGTTTCAACACTTTCTGAGAATGATGGTCTCAACCTCTGAATTGTAAAAATTGTTGCATTTATCATAGAGAATGCTCCTGATTCACAGGCCAAGTGTTATGACTTGGCACATAGTGTTTTTCCTTTGTAAA